GTTTTTAATTCTTCAATATACTTTCTAAGCACACCATTGTCCCTGCCTTCTGCCACAGCATGCCTCCTGGCAGAAATACCCTCTGCAGTGTAACAACTATCAATGTAAAACGCTATGTGCCCACATGGCTACCAACTTTGGGAAATGGGTTGAGAGGATGTAAAACTGCAATATTTATTAAGCTCCAATTTTAATGCATGGTTTGAAACTGTTCACACCCTGTCTATTTCCATCTTGTCTTCAGTCTGTAAAAAGTCCCTATTCCTGCACATCAATTTTCTGAAGATCTGGTTGGCATGGTCAGCTCTGACAGCCTTGATTGTCAAAGTTGCCACCACCAAAAAGTCATCAGAGGTTGCACATGCAACATTCACCCCCCAGTGGGAGCTATGACTTAAATCTAGGGATGAGGAACCTGTTGCTCGCCAGATGTTGTTGAACTAAAATTCTCACCATTGGCCATTCTGGCTGAAGTTGATGGGAATCAGAGCCCAACAAAATCTAGAGGGTCACAAGCCCACCCCAATTTAAAGGCACTTCTAATCGCACAAAGGAGGGTCTCACTGTCCCCAGCCTCCTGCATTGCGCCATTTGCTATTTTAGAAAAACCCTGACTTTAGATCAAAAGGAGCAACAGGAAGGAGCGGGCAGCACAGAGCCCGCTTGCAGTTCATGGGATCCAAGTTTATGTATGGAGCCCCCTGTTTTGGATGGTAAGGATCCAGTAACAGGAACAATGCATACAACACGTTTTTGCCATGTAGGGCTAGAGCGAGAGAGGATTTTGTGCTGGTCCTGCACTCAGAGAACCCCTCTAATCAATGTTCGGCAGAACAAGATTAGTATATTCAATGCAATGAGGCCATAGGGACTGGATGTTAGATTTAATGTTATAGTCATAAGCTAAGCATTAACTGACCATGATCTAATCAGATATTTCACTAGTTGAATGCTATGCTTTAGATCTGATTGTTGTCACAAATACATACAAGGCCAGTTGGATAACCAGTGCTTTTTTCCCTGGGGTTACTCAAGGGCACACGGTACTGGCACATTTTCTCCCTCAAATGTTAAAAGTGTGTCACTTACTGTAACGACTTCATGGTGAGTACTGGCACCTTTTTCTTCTTCTTCTAAAAAAGCACTGTGGGTAACACAATGCTTTTTATGGCGAAGAGTTTCAGAGAAACGGGGGTGGAGAATAGTTAATGAATAGATATGTTACACTACATGAGAGTTTCATACCTCTCTGTGTTTCCTACTAGGAGAGAATCACATTCAGTTTAAAAATGCCTCTTACCCTGTGTATGTTCTTATGGTCTCTGTATCCTCCCAAACAGTTATTGACATTATGCATGCTTTTTATTACTATTATTTAAAAAAACCCTCATTAATTACTGCTGCCACTCACTTTCCTTGGCATGTCTGGGGCTGTTTCTTATGGACCCCATATCGCATCAAATCGTTAATGGCATATAAAAGATGCACTTTCTCCTTTAAAATATTTTCTGTGTCGTAATTTAAAGGTACGGCTTACAAAAAGGGGGGAGTAACTAAAAGTTAAGAGCGTAGGCTTGCATAATAGATGAGTTGTATGCATTATATTTGGGAAGCAAAGCCATGAGCAAATGAATCCTAGGAAGTGGTTGTGAAAAAGGAGCCCCAAATGCTTGCATGCGATGGGATGATAACTGCAATATCTCGCACTTCCGTATAATCTGGCTACATGCTTCGTCATGAAAATTAGTAACCGCCATGTGTTGCTTTAGAGAAAACAAGTTAAGCCCTCTGTTGCAACTAGAAATGGACCTACTGCTGTCTTTTGGTTATGAGATCTCTGGAAGGGCGGTGCTGTTTTACTTATGCATGTACATTACTTGAATACACCTGAATGGATTCTGATTATTGTTTCAGGGGATGTGATGTTCTGTTGAAGTTCTTTCGATAGTGTTTGGTCTGCAATGACTGTTTCACATGCTGGTTGCAGTCACTGAGTAATGAAAATGCAGTTATAAACATGTCCTGTGTCTCAATTCATGTTACTTTACTGGGAACATAAAACCTATACAGAAGTTTCCCTTCAGAAAATAGCACAATGTCTTTAACATTCCATTGAAAATTTCCTCAGCTTCTGGTATCTCTGCCTACTTTATCCCTGGGTTATTTTCACCCTAAACTGTTTTAAGTACTTTGTCAAATGACCTTAATGATGTACTGAAAATTGCTGCAAAATAAAAACACTCCGTTGATCTCTCTGGGATATTATTTATTTAAGAAAGAGTGAGAATGACTGGGGGAGCTGTGAAACTTGCACTTTGCTTTCCTAAGTCAGTGTAACCATTAAAGCAAATAAACGAACAACATTTGATTTTAAAGTAATACAGTGGTACCTCGGTTTCAGAACAGTCCGGTTTAAGAACAATTCGGTTTACTAACTCCACAAAACCGGAAATAGTGTCCCGGTTTGCAAACTTTACCTTGGTCTAAGAATGAAATCCGAACGGTGGAAGGGCACTGGTGGTGGGAGGCCTCATTAGGGAAAGCGCGCCTCAGTTTAAGAACGGTTTTGGTTTAAGAACGGACTTCTGGAACGGATTAAGTTCATAAACTGAGGTACCACTGTACTGGCTTCTAAAACTGTTTCATGAATCGGCTTGCATAATATTCCAACGTGGAACTTTTGGGGGGTGGCGGGGGGTGTGTGTCGAGGGTTGTCGTTGCTTCTAACTAACATTCTTCTTACCAACTAATGCTTTTTTCTCAAATATGCACCATTATTTTCTACAACCCAATTAAAGATAGTTGTGACCATAAGCCAGCTTGAATCAAATGAAGCCAAGTTGTTTACAACTTACTTTAAAACAAGCATTGGATTTAATATTTTGTAAGATTATAAATATTTTTGATTGCCCTTATATCTCTTTTAGATATTTTATGTTATATAAATGCATGCATCCTAGATGCGCAAAAAAGGAAAAAAGCTTTTAACTACTAAGCAGACATTTTTCTGATATATAACATAGAAATACAGTCTGTCTACACTCTAGTTAAATATTTTATTATTTTATTGAAATACAAAACATTCTCTCATCCAGCAAAGATATTTGGTAATTAATATTTGAAAATGATAAATTATGGTCAAGAACAATTGTTTCATTATTAAAACTGACATGTAAAAACGATTTCTATTGTTTTTCTTATAGAAATTGGTATGAATAAACATATACAAAAAAAATAGCTCTGAAATGAAAATATATTGAATACAATGAGGAATATCAACTTACACAACCTCCAATAGTGCCTGGTGTATAGTGGGATATCTTCAGATATATGCCCTAAAGATGTCATCTAGGCTGTGAAATGGTACCTTGGCGTCCGTGTAAGCTTCCTCACTGACGTTAAGATGAGATCTTCTCCATGTATACATAAATAATGTTACACTTGACTGTAAACTCAACATTTTTTTTTTTACCTTGAGGCGGCTGACTACCTCTAACGCGGCGTCTACAAGCCCATATGAGAATATAACTTGGCAGGCGACTTTCTTGACACCGTAAAATAAATAGATGAAGATTAGTTAGCTCAACTCTTACAGGTATTGGCTCTGAGTAAACATTTAAGAGAAGCAATTAGCCATGGTATTGTTTATATAAGCTGTATTGCCTATATGCACGCAGGAAGGAGAGATGGTTCAGGGCACTAGGATTATACCCAGAGCAGAAATGCACTTGATAATTAAAGGAAAACACCTGCTGCTCCAAAAAAAAAAAAGCAAGCAATGCTAGCCCTAGTAAAAGACTTCCCCTTAGTGCTCAGTTCCTAGGCACACCTAACTTTTAAATAATTCTGGCTTTGGATATTCTGTACATCTGGGGGTTGGGGTGAAGAAGGACCTGTAAGCTGTGCTTCCTCATCTCTTGCTGCTTTAGAATATTTGAAATTGAGGCTCATGCATATTCCTGGCTGGTTGTAGGATTATGCACATGCACCAACCTATCTAACAAGTCTCTGCCCCCTTACTTGCTGCAGACACCTGAAGCAGTTTGTTTTTACTGAAAGCAATTCAGATCACTACCAGTTATGCAGTGCTTAGCGTGCACTGAAGGTTCTGCACAACCTATTATTCCATTCAGACAAATGACCCAGCACAGAAGTGTGGGTTGTAGTTAGGGTGTGTGTGTGTGTCCATTTTTTGAAAAATCTTACTAGATGTGCCTGCATGTTGCTAGTTGAGAAGTCTTGTACAGTAACAAATCACACCACATTAGTGGCTTGGTGTCTGTTCTGTGCGAACAAAAACAATTACTGCAATCTATCACAACTATATGATAGCAAACACATCCCTTATACACACAGCCTAAAATTTACAGGCTGATTCTCAAAAGCATATAGGAAAATCTCTTAGCGATTATAGTTAAAATAAAAATGTCCACTTTATATCTGTAAAAGAACAGCATTGTGGGGGTTTTTCTGTCTGTCTGATTGTAGGTCACTTGCCCTGAACAAGAGAAAGTGACTAACAAATTTAATAAAGACTTATAATAATCACTGGTGGTGGTGTTTAGGGCTGAAAACCCCATGGTAAGCCTTCAATACCAATTCAGCTCCAGTAATTATAATAAAACAGTTACTACCACACTGACAACCATTCCAGTAGTTAGTATATGTGTCGGCCACTTTTCTGTTCATGTATTTTGGGATAGAATACCACCAATGGTAACTTTTCCAGCAGAGACTTCTGCATCTGAATCTAAGCTTTAAAATAAAAATATTTATCATATAAACACTGTACAGTTATTAAATACATTTAGCACTGCATTCATGATAACATGGATATTATGTAATGGAGGACAACAGTTTTGACGGAAAGTAGGTGCAGCCACCTTGTTGTTTTTTACTCAGATATAAACTTCAGTTAATGTGTTCACTGTTATGGAAAAAAAGTATTGGTTGCCTTCTGAAGCTTTGTTGTTGCCTCCCTCCTCCCCCAAAGACTCCATTTATCCAGGTGAGTGAACTTGGTATAACCAGCAGTCCTCTTGGTGAAAATCTGTGGAAACAAAGTGCCAATAATGTGGCCAACATTGACTCAAAAGACAGAGCTTTCCCTCAAATTCCAGAGTTAATTTCTGGAGTGACACTTGACCCACCCCTTAGACTTCTCTTGAGATAAATTATTGGCCAAAATTTATCAGAAAATAACTATTACATTTTCTGAGAATATTTTCTTCTTTGGACTCCTTCTGAATTGTTGGGTACTTCCATTCCCACCAAGAGTATTTGGCAACCCCCCCTATTGCCCACTAACAGAGTTAAATACAGATCCAGTATTAATACTGTTTAGAATTGCTGAAGGAAGCAAAACGTTTAGTCCTCCTTCCATCCTTGCCTTACTCCATCGTTACCTTCATCTACCAGTGCAAACAAAAATGTATGTTTGCTTACCTCCTCCAATACCCACACCATGCTACTCCCCACAAGTTGGGCAGAGAATTCAGGGAGGGGGGATGACGACAGAAAGACATTTTTGCTCACCCCTAGAATCCAGCTTATACTCCAAGATCCTCTCCTTTAGTAGTTTGTACCAGGCCTTGTAGCACTCAAGTTTTCTTTTACTTTCACAACACTCTTCAATGATTGTTTAGGCTATTTTAAAAAGGGCTCAACTATAGCAGTGGCAAATAAATACATGAAGGGTGGGTTCTGACTCTCAAAGGTATATATATTTAGAGGAGGTTTCCACACAATATATAGCTATTTACAAAAAGAAAACCCACAAACCTTTATGTCCGCTGACTGTTGCCTAGAATTCAGGGCGTCAGATACTAACTCATCAGTCTTTGCTTTGTATCAGGTGGCCTGTAAGGAAAAGAAGGATATGAATGTTTACTGCATGCTAGGCAAGCCATCAAAGCCAAAAAGCTAGAGCAGAAAGTGCTAACAGCCCAGAAGTGCTAACAAGAATGTTCTGGTCTGAAGCTGTGACAAGAGATTTTAGAGACAGTGAGGGTTAGTCCTTTTTAGTTGTGGAACACCAAAGGCAAGTTGAAATTGGTTGTTAACAAGGGCAACTCAGAGAAGACACATGTTGAAGAGGAACGAGTAGTATTTGCATGCATTTTACCTCCATGCTCTGTTCTGTACTCATGCTTTTGCAATGCTCCTTGATCACTGCTCTCTGAAGGACTGATACAAGCACTTACGTTACATGGACCATGACACAAACTACTGATGGATTCATGGTGGTCAAAGGCAGGATTAATTCTGACAGCATTCTCTGTGTTGCTTTGGCTGAGAGGAGGACCTCTACAAGGCAGAACATGTTTGTTTAGGGTAAGACTTCCTGCCTGTAGTTTTTAAAAGTTCCAAAAAACTGTTGGGGGAGGGTTAAGCTGCTTACTCCAGTTTAGGCTTGGTATTGCATTTTCTTCGCAACTTATATATTAAAGTGACGAGAAGAATAACTAGGCTTAATAAGCCAAGCATCAAAGCTTTGGAGATGTTGGACCGGGTAGGTGCTGGAGCGTATTTTGCACAACGCCCTCGGCTGTTTCTACGGGCTGGGCATCTAAAACATGGAGGGAAAGGGAAGCAAAGCAGTTTTATGTCAAAACAAGACCAAGGGCATGCAGGAAAAACAATTCAAAACAAGTTCTCCATGCCTGTCCTAAACCCTTTAACCTGTGTTAGGTTTTAGGACTTTCCCTTTTATTCCACTTTTTATGCTGCATTTATATTTATCAGCGTGTGAGTAGACCCAGTAGAACTTCCCCTTCCTATCTTTTCCCCAACTCAGATATGCTCCAGGGGTCCCCACAGCCATTCAGAGCAGAGTTTGGAGGCACACAGGGGCAAGAGAGTGAAGGAGAAGTCCTGTAGCTCATGTGGATGTCAATTCCACAAGGGGGCTGACTCCACTGAATGCCAGTCATTTATAGAATAGCTCAGTTGGTTAGAACATGGTGCTGATAATGCCAAAGTTGCAGGTTCGATGCCCCATAGGACAGCTGCATATTCCTGCATTGCAGGGAGTTCCTCCGGGTCCCTTCCAACTCTGTAATTCTATGGTTCCATATTAACTTTTAAACTGTTTGATTTCTTCTTATAAGACACCCTGAGGACTGCTATAGAGTATGCTATAAATGCTGTACATAAATTATGGTAATAACACTGTAATAGAATTGCTAATAATAACGTGGTGTAAGTGGCTGACAGGCAAATGTGTGTTCATTCAGGTTCATTTCCTATACGGTGACATCTCCCACCACTAGCACGGTGAAGCCTCAGATACTTACCTCAGGAATCTCCATATGCTCACTTGGAATGGTGGAAGGTCCTATAAGGAAAAGAACTTGGAGCAGGTCTTCCTCAAAGAGGTGCCAGGGGGCAAGGAAAGGCAAACCTCCCATTTTAGAATATAGAAGCAGGAGATTGTAGCCAAAGCAACATGGTGGAGTTCTGCTGGTGCAGCGACACTTCCGTTTCATCTCCTCACTTGACCCACTCCCAAAATGTTGTCCAGAGGGTCTCCCAACCCCTGGAGCTGATTTTGAGGGTGTGCAGGGGGCTTCAGGGGAGAGGAGGGAAGTGTTCCGTTCTGCTAGCACATGCCCCTTGCAATAGCAGAACAGGTGCATAGGCTACCAGCCAGCGTGTACATTCCTCTCTCCATAACAGGCCTGAATATAGGAAGATTTGCATTTTTATTTTGTTTTTCTATTATGCCTGATGAGGCGACTGAAGGATTTCCTGTCAGTATCTATCAACTAGGCTATGAGGAAACTCCCAAGATTACCTCCTTCAATTTACAGATTCTTAAAATGAGCTAAATCTAAACAAAGCGTCTGGTCCATTACACAGCTGACAAGTACATGCAATGTTCAAATCTGACAAAAATAACCTTTAACGTTGAAGCCCTTTCTGCTGAGCTGCATGAAATAGATTCCGGCTTATGGCAAACAATGGAGGCCGGAAGTCAACATGACTATGTGGAAACCAAAAACTTGATGCTGAGCACAGGCGCATAACATAGCACTGGCCCATTTAGGCCAGTGCTGTTACCATGACAAGCAGGAGCTCTCCTGGGATCTTCCCAGTCCTGCTACCAGAGAGCTTTACAATTGGGAATTTTCTGTATGGATGCCATAAACCACTGTTCCCTCCCTAGTCAACGTCTAACCAAGAATAATGGCTGCATTCTATCATGTGATGCTGTTTGCATGATGCAATAGATTCCATAATATCTTTCAATTTCTACAGCAGCACTGATATTCACAATATTCATAATCACAATCGGTCCTGCCGTCCTCACAGGCATACTTGGTAGGGATGTGGGGATAGGGCCTTCTCAGTGGCTGCCCCCAAAACTTTGGGACTCCCTCCCTGGAGAAGCTAGACTGGCTCCTTCCTTTTCCGGAAGGACAACAAGGAACAGACTTCTTTTAATGAAAGGGTTGGTGCCATGCTGCTGTTATTATAAATATCTGTATGTTTTTAATTGTGTGTGTGTGTGTGCGCGTGCGTGTGTGTGTGTGTGTTTGATTAGTGTTTAATTGTTTTAAATGATTTTTTAAAACAAATAATTTATATAAAAAATGTTTTTAGCTGTTCTTATCCCCCCGCCTTTAAGCCGCCTTGAGTCACTGCCAAGGGAAAAAGAAAGGTTTAAATAAATACATAATAATACAATAGTGATGACACTTACCTACACACTGCCCCTCTTCCTGGAACCAATTCACACTTGCCACCATTAACACACAAGTGTGGCTCAATTTCACACAGGCTACGGCACGGCAGGCCATCTCTTCGTACATAACCAGGCTTACAAAGGCAATCGGCCTCTTTCGTCCAGTCGTTCTTTACGCACTGTGAAAATTCGTCACATCCCATGAACTTGCAAGGATCCGCTTGGTCAGCTGTAAAAGAAAAGGATAATCTTTTTTAAAAAATGGGTCCATTGCCGCAGTGTAACGCACACTTGGCAAAAACTTACTCTTAACTGAGGAGGGAAACAGGAGCTCCCCCCACAAGTACGAGTCTATCAGTAAAATACATCTAAGAAGAAGAGCCAGCATCATTTTGCATTTACAAGCTGCGGTTATAGATTCTTTTCTTTGGTGATCTGGCTTTCTGTTTACTTGATTCTCCTGCCTGTGACAGTCATATGCTCAGACTAATAATGGAGTTGCCTATTACAAATAGTGGGAGCCCTGTATCTAGTGCTCCTCTCCATGTCTTAATACAATTCACTCCACGTTCTAACCAGCTTGATTCAGTATATAAGGAATTGCCGGGGCTGGCATTAGTACAACCAAGAGGCTATGGCATGGCTGTCAGGTAAGGGGGCTCTGGACAAGCTGAGGCACAGAAGCCCACCTGAAAATGGCCCAAGTCCCACCAGTGCTTCCTAGTCTACTGATGGAGAAACACTGGTCTAATGACACCACTGGTATTTATTATAACATTTATTTTTTTAATACTTAAAATAATCCAAGTGCCATAAGATTTCTTAACTGATCTTTTTGGAAATCCACCAGCATTATCAGATCTTGAAGATCTCCCAACTCTTAGAACCACTAGCTAGGAACAACTGTGGGAGAGCGCTACTACTCTCAAGCCCTCCTTGTAGGATTCCTGAAGGCAACTGTTTGACCACTGTGGGAAGCAGGATCCTGGCCAAGACAAGTCATTGGTCTGATCCAGCAGGGCTTTTATTTCCGGAAAGGAGTCCTCTTCCCTCTCTGAAATAGTCTGCTACCCACACAAGCCTGCGACTCATAGCTGCGTGTGTCACTTGGCTCAGTTTCCTTGGCAGTCTGCCTCATCTCCAAATATCTGAGAACCAGTATGTAGATCTTTTTTCTCATTTTCCCACAACACTGAACTTTTAATTTTATATCTCCCAGGCTTTCTAAAAAAGAGAATGTAACAGTGTTTAAAAAATCCTTTAGGACATGCTAAGGAAACTGGTTCAAGTAATTGTGTGCCTTGCACAGAATTTATTAGAATATCCGTTATAGTTAGCAATCCCCAACTCGGTTTACAATACTGAAATAAAAGCCGTCTTTTAATCTGGAGATTATATATTTCTGCAGAATCTTAGGAACAAAGTTGGTTCAGACATAATCCTATTTTTTCAAGTAATGAGTTTTCATCCTACCCTTAAAACAAATAATAGGAAAGCAAGATATATTTGTTCTTCTACATATACCAGTCAGGCATTTGTCGACTTCAGTTTTCATTCATAGTTTATTCATTCATCTAGTCCAGGGTTTCCCAAAATTTTCAGCTGTTTTTGGACTACAACTCCCATCATCCCTAGCTAGCAGGAACAGTGGTCAGGGATCATAGGAGCCAACTCCTAGGGTGTCTCAATAAAATATTTGAGGGGACCCCCCAAGTTGATAGGTGTTGCCATTCAAATGTTTTGTGAAACTTGTGATTGATTATGCAGGGTGGGACTTACCTGGGTCCCCCATTATTTTATTCCAGTTGGCACCCTGTCGGAGATGATGGGAGTTGTAGTCAAACAACAGCTGGAGACCCAACAGCTGGAGACTCAGTGCAATAAATCCAGACTAAGAGCATTCCCCAAGAGATGGCTCTCCAAAGAATCTCATGTGCTGCCACCCAGGTAAATGGTTCCGCTGTTGAACTGTTCTTAACTTTAATTATTTTCTCCTAACGTTCAGTTGACATCCACCTTCATAAAAGCACAAGGAGAGCAGCCCTGGTGGATCAGAACAGTGTCCCATCTAGTCTCAGTATCCTGTTCTATTATCTGCTTGTGGGAAGCCCACAAACAGAACCTGAGCACAACCGCACCTGACTGATGATTTCAAACAACTGGTACTCAGAAGCATATTGCCTCCATCAGTGGAGGAACAACATAGCTATTAGGATTAGCAGTCACTGGAAGCCTTAGCCTCTATGAATTTGTCTAATCCTTTTATAAAGTCATCCTGTTACTTAATCCCATTAGAGCTAGACCTGCCCTCTCGGGCAGCAGACAAGATGTCTCTGCCCTCTTGTAGGTGACAGTCCTTCAGGTATCTGACTACAACTATCATGTCCTCTGTGTCTTCCCTTCTCCAGGCTAAAGAGACCTAGTTCCTTCACCCGTTCTTCATAGGACTTCTTTGCAGGACCCTTGAACATCGTTGTCCTCTGAACCAGCTCCAAATGTCTACAACCTTCTCAAACTGCAGTGCTGAAGAACCCCCAGAGGAGGTCTGGCTACTGCAGTGTCTCATGCCTTCAGACGTACATAAAAACAAATGGTCAACTATGTTTGGTTTTGCTTACAGTGCTGCATGGAATCTCACATTTTAATCCACAAACTTTGTTCTAGTCAGAAAAGGGACACAATCTAACACCCATCTTGTTTATCTCATTTAAATGCGGCATCAACATTCCAGGATGTGAGGCAGAAGGAGGATCCTTCAGGTCTGTTGTCAAGACAACATTTTTAAGTCATGAAGTACACAGTGACACACACAACTTCAGATAAGGAGTTCACATTGCACAGTTGCTATGCCACCTTGAGATATTTCTCACAGTTACTGTCTGTGCTTGCATTAAGGTTCTCTCAGTTACTGTAGCCTGGCTGCCAGCCTCCTCACCCTTCCTTGGTCAGCAGACAGTTTTCTGTTGTTAAAAATGCACACTCAGCTTCCTACTCCACCCAAGCTTATAACCTCAATGTAACATGTGCTTATCTCGCAGCAGGGTACTCAGTGCCCATTATGCCATGTTCCTGAAGTGTGACCCTTCAAAGGAATGAGAACTCAGGTCTGTAATGCCTGATGAACTCTTTCACCAGTTTTGTAGAATGGGTGGCCAAATAAACAGATGCTCTTTAGTGCTGCAGCTGTCATAGGAAGTGTGCGCAAATCAGCAGTGTAACTAAATGAAAGCAGCATGTTGACCAGAAAACCAAGTGATCCTTGGGCTATGTTGAGACATGTGAGATACATTCTGGGAGCACATTCTAAGAGTCGTCCACCGTTTTCATTCTACTCTTAGATTTGCTTGTGGGAAAGGTCAATTCGTTAAAAGAGAGACTCAGTTCTCTGCCATGTTCTACATGATGTTTGGCCGGACATTGGCCAGGGCACTGAACAGCTAGGAAATCTCCCCACAGCCCTACAGGAGCTGCTCCCAATGAAAAGCTGCAGCAGACCTGCAGCTGCAGAAGGATTGTTTCAGTCACCAGGCTGGGCCCTCCCAGCACAAGATCCCTGCTGCTGCTTCACTTGGCAGGATGGGCCTCTTACTCTTGAGTGATTCTGTTGGTGCTCTCTGTAAGCGTGAAGTACATAGAACATTTGCCAGAACTCCCACTGGCTTCATTTGGACTGTGGGCAAAATAATATCTTCCTTGATTTTGGCCTATGCATCCTTTTTTTTCAATAAAAGTAAATATGCAGTATAGTCAGTTTCTCTCTAGGTACCTTTTTGTCAATGCTAAGGAACGCTTAGGGACGTGGGTGGCGCTCTGGGCTAAACCACAGAGCCTAGGACTTGCTGATCAGAAGGTCAGCGGTTCAAATCCCCACAATGGGGTGAGCTCCCATTGCTCGGTCCCAGCTCTTGCCAACCTAACAGTTCGAAAGCACGTCAAAGTGCAAGCAGATAAATAGGTACCGCTCTGGCGGGAAGGTAAACAGCATTTCCGTGCGCTGCTCTGGTTCGCCAGAAGTGGCTTAGTCATGCTGGCCACATGACCCGGAAGCTGTACGCCAGCTTCCTCGGCCAATAAAGCGAGATGAGTGCCGCAACCCCAGAGTCGGTCACGACTGGATCTAATGATCAGGGGTCCCTTTACCCTTTACCTTTAAGGAATGTTTAAGAGCTTTACATTTTGTTACAAATAAATAAGTGCAAACAACATGTGCCTCGTGTTAGCTTAGAATGCATATATTTCTTGCAATGTTTCTTATCAAAATACGCATTTCCCCAATTGCTATTTTCTGTTGATAAAAAGCAGCTATTTAAGCTCTTGGGCTCTGTGCCATGTTTCACTGGGTTCTCAGGAGGGACCCTGATCATGACATAGAGACAACCTGGGGCTTTTCATTCTTCCCGGGCCACCCGTCTTACAGAGAGCAACCGACATCATGAAATGCTTGCAGGAGAGAGCAATGTTTCTTCCCCCACTGCCCCATTTTTTACATCACCTGGCTCAATATCAAGGGAATAGCTGTCAATTTCAAGGTTAAGGCGCTGAGCTGCTGCATCACAAAAATCCTCCAGCACACAATGGACAGCCTCTGTGATGTTGTACGGCACTGACTTGGCAAACTTCATTTTGCTGTTGACAATCACACTTCCATTGCGGAAGTTCAGTATTTCCAGTTGCTTGAAGCCTGTTAGGTTGGACTGTAGGTAAGGAAGAAGCTACAAAAAGAAAAAAGAAAAGAGAAAACTTTAAGTCAGTGGTGTCCAAACTTTTCAAAGAGGGCCAGATTTTATGCAGTGAAGGGCCGTGGGGGCTGACCAAAGGGTCAACTAAAGTTGTTGATTTTTTTTAAGGGTTGGAGTTGTTGAGCTTCTTTTAGGATTGAAGTTGTTGAGGTTTTTTACGATTTTACCCCAGGAAATAAACTGCCACAGGGGCCAGATTAAATTGACCAGAAGGCAGCATTAGGCCTCTGAAACGGACTTCGGACATGCCTGCTTTAAGTCCTCTATCACTGCCCATGTATCATTGATTCCACTTATTTTCACTTTTCATTTTAGGGAACATAAATCAACTGCTCTGTTTCACTGACTTTATTAGCAGACTTTACATCTGCTACCAGGTTAAGTTTCTCAGTTAGTCTTTAACTGTCTCTCTGGTTAGATCTTCTTCAATAATCTATTAAGATAGATAGAGTGTGATTTTCCTTCTAATTAAATTTCATAGGCTGCAATCCAGTTAAAAAAGAAATCAATGGGACTTAAACATGCTTAAATGTGAATTGCAGCCATAGGCAAGGCAGATCTATGGTTTCAAGAGGGTTTTGTGTGTTGTTAGTTGTTAAAAGGAGAAAGTGAGCCTTGGATATTTATGTCCCAGCTGCCAAAGTCAACAATGGGTATTTGTGTATACTGGGAGCTCTGCATTGCATAGCCAATAACTGAGCATGTTTTATATGTTCTTTCATGGCAAGGAGAGCTAGCACCCCCCAGCTATGATTATTCACACTTCCAACCTTAGCCTTCTGGCTGAGGAAGCCAAAAGAGTCCGGCCCTGCAATGGCAGCAGGAGTGATCAGTGGTAGCTAAGGTAGTTCAAGGGATGCCATTCTTTTTATCTTCTGGTGCTGGTTTCCCTTCATGCACACCTAAAAGGGAGGCCCTATCCTCTCATGCCTGCTGGGCTCTGCTTTGTGGGAGAAGTTAAAATATTCTCTCTCCAGCTTCCCCTCTTCCAGAGGTGCTGGTGATAGAGCCACAGTTTGAGAGGAAGACTTTAATCACCACCATAGCTAAATACACAACTCAGGTGAAGAACAACCAGATAAAATTCAGGGAAGTGCGGATTTTGAAAAATTAGTGTGTTTGGGGTTTTCTATTGTTTCAGAATTGATGCCGAAGAATTGATGCTTTTGAATTATGGTGTTGGAGGAGACTCTTGAGAGTCCCATGGACTGCAAGAAGATCAAACCTCTCCAATCTTAAGGAAATCAGCCCTGAGTGCTCACTGGAAGGACAGATCCTGAAGCTGAGGCTCCAATACTTTGGCCACCTCATGAGAAGAGAAGACTCCCTGGAAAAGACCCTGATGTTGGGAAAGATGGAGGGCGCAAGGAGAAGGGGACAACAGAGGACGAGATGGATGGATAGTGTTCTTGAAGCTACCAGCATGAGTTTGACCAAACTGCGGGAGGCAGTGGAAGACAGGAGTGCCTGGCGTGCTCTGCTCCATGGGGTCATGAAGAGTCGGACATGACTAAACGAGTACACAACAACAACAATTGTTTCAGAAAGTACAGGTTAGGTGTGCCATTAAGTGTGAATTGACTTCCTCTTCCAACCCAAGTTGAAGCAGGGATGAGGTTGAAACTACATCATCATCATCATCATTAAATTTCTTTGCTGCCCTTCATCACATGTGATTAGCATCATGAACAGGGTTGGGTAGTAAGAAGAGTAGGTGCCAGTTTTCTTTTTAAAATGCTTCTCATTATTTGGAATTTGTTTTTAACTTGGGGAATGGCACGGGGGGCGGGCGCCTAACAGCTTGCAAATATAAATGTATTAAAGCCAATTCTTTGCCACCTACCAGCTGCATGAACTGCTGTTCGAGTGCTTTGTATTCTGAGGAACTCCGATTGAAGAGGTCATCGGAAAACCGCATGTTGGTTACTCTCAAGCTGAAGAAGACTACTAGCTCTTTGCCTTTGGCTGCAGTTGTCATTGAGCTGGTGGTGACGTATTTCAGTGGAGGAGCTGGAGTCATATCCGGAGTTTCAGGCAGTGCATAGTAGCCACTTCCATCCTCACTAATTGTTGCTGGCCTCATGATGTCAACTGTATCTAGTTCAGTAGCAATATCTTGCACCCCCATGTCAAATCCTGTAGGGATGTCACCGTCAGTCACTGCCCACCCAGAGCTTGTTGCTTCGAAAGACTGGTCAATGACAACAGAAGGACCACTGGTAGTCACAGCAGGCAATAAAATGATCTGATCTGTAGGCCCCAAAATATCATCTTCAGGAAGAGAGGTGGGAAGAGCAGGAGAACCAATGACATATGGTATAGTAGTTATTGCAGCCAAAATCTCATCACCTGAAGATTCCAGTTCATCAGTAATCTTTACATCTAAAAAGGAAACAACATGCTGAACAACAACACTGTAGAAAACACACATTTAAGGTCTGCTATGGAAGATGTCGAAGTGGAATTGTTTCCCTATTATGGCATTTATGCCCTACTTTCCACTGAAAACACGCACACAAGATGGCTAAAGAATAATTAAAATCCAATTCAGGTAATTGAAATGACAGTAATTCAGCAAAATACAAATCAGGGCGCCTTATTAAAATGTCAATAAGCTGCAGCAAATAAATACAGGAATTCAACTCCAATCCGTTATAGTCTCAAAAGTCCAACAGAACAACAGTGTTCTAGCTAACCACCTGGCTGAGTGAAAGTGAGGCATCCATCCATATGGAATGAGTTCCACAAGGACTTACCCATGTCTCCTCTCCCACAAACACACTAATTCAAACAGAGAAGGCATGTGGAACATGAATTCCAGGGAAAATCTTAATGTGTCAACTCAAACATTGTTCTCTTTATTCTAGTAAGGACCATATTCAGATGAAAAATTGGCCTACTTCTTCAACTCTGTTCATACAGTCATCTCCATGCATTTGGTGCATGCATACAGAGGAAGGAGAACCACCTGGCTTAGCCCTAACCTCACTGTTATGCACCTGCATTTGACATCTTGCGGGGGGGAGGTAAGCCCTGCCTTGCATAATTGACCACCAGACGTGGCACGCGCACACCATTTGAATGGCAATGCCTATCAACTTTGGAGGGCCCCGCCCCCTCAAATATTTTTTGGGTGGAGGCCGAAGGGACCTCGGCCCCTAGGAGTTGGCTCCTATGAATCTGTGTGTCATCTCAAAAGGAGACCCTATGCATGTGCAGCTGCATAATACTGTGCATGATTTGAAATCCTACATGGTGAACATTCCCAAGTGAGCTCACACTTCTTCAGATGTATATGTGAAGGCTGCCCTTTTCAAATGTGCTGAATGCATGGATGGCAGAGCAGGCAGAATGCATGACACTGTGGACGGTGCCCGTGGGTGCAGTCCTTTTCTGCCCCCCAGATAGCCACTGTGTCACTTTTAGACATTTCCCCCTAAACTATTATTTTAGTAATGATAGCTCTACCTGATTACTTTCATAATTTATCTTAGGTCACCAAATCTCTTTACAGACCGCCCCCTCCCAATCATGTTTTCTCCTAAATGTGCAAAGGCCTTGGCATTCTGTACAGAAATATAGAGTACTCAAGAGTCTGTAACCAAAAGAAATATGACAGGAAAGGGAATTAGGAGCACAGCATAAAGATAAAGGGATGATGACAATTATATCAAGAATAATTCGCTTCAGTAGTATTGTGTCCTACAAGTTGCTATGCTGACATTTCTTGCTCAGAATCTTCATTTTTATGATTAAATCTTCAGCAACTAATTGGTTTGACAAACTGTCGCACCTTTGATGCATGTGCAATTAGGTGCAAATTAGATGACAATGATTTGCCTTTGGTTTGAACATCAAAACGGTAAAGCTGACTATCTCCTAGAGTGTAGTCAATACAAATTTGCTGAATACACTTATGCACATTCTTCAGTTATTCCACAAATTCACTGATTCAATATTTCTTTAATAACTTGCCAACATACCTTGGTCAAAGGCTGAGTGGTTGCAAGACACAGAAGTGGGTTGTTGTTGACTTTTGTTTAGGTAATTATCTTTTAATGAAGTTTGAGTGTGACTGGGTGCAAATGAATGAATATTGTGGAACAACTTACAGTGGTGCCCCGCAAGACGAACGCCTCGCAAGACGGAAAACCCGCTAGACGAAAGGGTTTTCCGTTTTGGAGGCGCTTCGCAAAACGAATTTCCCTATGGGCTTGCTTCGCAAGACGAAAGCCCATAGGGAAATCTCCGGGGACCTCTTTTAAATGCTAGCGGTGGGGAGCAAAGCCTTCCCCCCCCCTCCGGCCTTCAGAAGAGGTCCAGGAAGGCTGGCGGGGGCCGAAGGCTTTGCTCCCCACCGCCAGCATTTTAAAAGCCGTCCGGGATAGCGGGAAGCGCTTCCCTGCTATCCCGGACGGCTTTTGAAGGCAGGAGAGGTCCGCGAAGCCTGGGCGCGCTGATCTCAGCGCGCGCAGGCTTCGGCATGCCGGCAACACTCCGCAAGCAGCGGCAGCGCTGCCGCTGCTCGCGGAGAGGTCCGCTGAGCCTGGGCGCGCTGATCTCAGCGCGCGCAGGCTCCGGCATGCCGGCAACTCTCCGCAAGCAGCGGCAGCGCTGCCGCTGCTCGCGGAGAGGTCCGCGGAGCCTGGGCGCGCTGATCTCAGCGCGCGCAGGCTCGGCATGCCGGCAACTCTCCGCAAGCAGCGGCAGCGCTGCCGCTGCTCGCGGAGAGGTCCGCGAAGCCTGGGCGCGCTGATCTCAGCGCGCGCAGGCTCGGCATGCCGGCAACTCTCCGCAAGCAGCGGCAGCGCTGCCGCTGCTCGCGGAGAGGTCCGCGGAGCCTGGGCGCGCTGATCTCAGCGCGCGCAGGCTCCGGCATGCCGGCAACTCTCCGCAAGCAGCGGCAGCGCTGCCGCTGCTCGCGGAGAGGTCCGCGAAGCCTGGGCGCGCTGATCTCAGCGCGCGCAGGCTCGGCATGCCGGCAACTCTCCGCAAGCAGCGGCAGCGCTGCCGCTGCTCGCGGAGAGGTCCGCGAAGCCTGGGCGCGCTGATCTCAGCGCGCGCAGGCTTCGGCATGCCGGCAACTCTCCGCAAGCAGCGGCAGCGCTGCCGCTGCTCGCGGAGAGGTCCGCGAAGCCTGGGCGCGCTGAGCTCAGCGCGCGCAGGCTTCGGCATGCCGGCAACTCTCCGCACGCAGCGGCAGCGCTGCCGCTGCTCGCGGAGAGGTCCGCGAAGCCTGGGCGCACTGATCTCAGCGCGCGCAGGCTTCGGCATGCCGGCAGCTCTCCGCAAGCAGCGGCAGCGCTGCCGCTGCTCGCGGAGAGGTCCGCGAAGCCTGGGCGCGCTGATCTCAGCGCGCGCAGGCTTCGGCATGCCGGCAACTCTCCGCAAGCAGCGGCAGTGCTGCCGCTGCTTGCGGAGAGGTCCGCGAAGCCTTGGCTGGACAGCTTTTGAAGGCAGGTGGGGGGACAAGGACTTTCGCCCCCGCCAACCTTCAGAAGAGGTCCAGGACCTCTTCTGAAGGCTGGCGGGGGCAAAAGTCTTTGTCCCCCTGCCTGCCTTCCCAGGGGCTTTAAATTGCCCCGGACAGCGGAGAAGTCCTCCGCTGTCCCGGGGCAATTTTAAATGCCGCCCGCCAGCATTTTAAGATCGCCCCGGACAGCGGAGAAGCCCTCCGCTGTCCCGGGGTTTTAAATGCTGGGGTGGAGTGGGAAGAAAAGCCCTTGTCCCTCCCCCCCAGCCTTCAGAAGAGGTCGGGGGACAGACTGTCCCCGGACCTGGTCTGAAGTCGGTTTCCCTAGGAACGCATTAATTGATTTTCAATGCATTCCTATGGGAAACCGTGCATCGCAAGACGAAAAACTCGCAAGAAGAAAAAACTTGCGGAACGAATTAATTTCGTCTTGCGAGGCACCACTGTACATTTTGTTTGAACACAGTGATTTACTTGCTTTTTGTGAATAGATTTAGGTCTGATCTGCAGTTTATTCCCCTCCACAATCCTAGTGAGCATTGCAAAACAGATAACTCAAGTCTCTGCCATCATTTCGCCTATGCTACTGCTTGTTCTGCTATTGCAGTGCTTCTGGTAAATGTCTTTAAAGTTATGTTACACTCACCCACCCTATATAATCACTGTTTAGAGACCCCTTACCAGGAGTGCTTCCTACAACGGCAACAGGTGGGGACAAACATCAGTGTTGCATGGACACTGGCTCTAGGGAGCCTGTTTCTCAGATATTTCTCATTGTTACCTACTGACTTAGAAGCAGGGAGCTTCAGTGCTCAAGTTGGTGGGGGAGAATTATTAGCCAAGCTGTGGCATCATCCCCCTGCAGAAAGCAGATAGGCTTACTACTACTTAGGAAAATGGAAACTTTTTTGGCTTGTGCATTCTAAAAAACTGTACTTCATAAACTTAACATTCTCACCACCAGCACCAAGTATCTAGAACCTTGAGTAACTTTACTGATCTGAACCACAAACAGGTTGGGCAACAGGTGAGGTTGAGAAGACCTAACAGCATATAGAGGCTATAAACCTTGTCCCTAAATACACGTTCCTAAGATCATCTATCAAACTAGCTTCCAGGGGTTTGGTGGCCATACATGAAAGCTTTGCAATGGTTCAGTCAGTAGAGCATGAGACTCTTAATCACAGGGTTGTGGATTCGAGCCCCATGGTTGGTTTTTTAATTATTATTATATGCCACCCAGCCACTCCTGTATTGAAGGGGGTTGTTTTTTCTTTTTTAAAATAATATTTATTAATAATTTCAGAATTACAGAAAAAAAAGAAAAAATAAGAAACATAAGAAACAACACTACAATACATAAAAAGAAGAAAAAACGCAAAACATAAAAACCAATACATCAATACAGTAAATATATATATATATATATATAGAGAGAGAGAGAGAGAGGAAAAAAAGAAAGACACAAATCCCATATAACTTCCATTTGCTTGTTTCATTGACCTCCTCGCACCTCCCTTTTTGTATTCTAGTTTAGTTAGTTATTTCAGCAAATTCTTTCCATCTTTCTCAATTTTTATTAAATAATTTATCTTAACAATTTAACCTATTAATTAACTCGACAGATCCTTTCCATCTTTCCCCATATTCTGTTATTCAAATTACCTTAATTTATTTAACCTTATCTTACCATAAAATACCTTAAAGCTTGAAACTTAATACTCATTTATACATAACCCCTGATATCATTTCTGCTAGAGTCATATAGTTTCATTCCAACATTTTCCCTAATATTCATTAATTTTAGGCTAATTCCCTAAATAAAAAGTTTTCTTTATAAATTTTCTTCCAATCTTCATCCAACGTCTCTTCTTCCTGGTCTCGGGTCGTGTCAGTCCTTACTGTCCATTCCATCTGGTCCATCAACCTGGAAGCCTTATGTCCGAGGCCCTTAAGTCTCTTCCATGTCCCTTCTGCAGATCTTCTTCTTCTTGTTTATACTTGCACTTTTCCTTGTCTTTTGTTGGTCTCTTTCTTAATTTCTTTCCTTTCTCGTTGAGGAGTAGGTCTCTGGGGGGTTCCAACCCAAAGTTATCTCCGTCTCCCTTCATCAAATCAGCCCATTCCCCACAGTCCCACTCCCCACAGTCATCAATATAATCCAAAAAATATTTGCGAGCATATTTCAAAGTGTCTCCAAAGTCAAAAGCCTCCTCAGCTCCAGACTCCCCCTGGCCCATTCCAACTTCAATCTTCAAAAACAACGGCTTATGCTCCTGTGGGGCCTTGGGCCTCTCCATTTGTATTATTTGAGTTGCAACCGCAGCCTCCTCCATTGTCTTCTGCACTTGCCCAATCAATACAGGTTCCTGAGTTGGACCCTGGATGATTTCTGTATCACTATTCACTAATTGTCCACAGTTATTGGCCACAACAGTCATCAAATCCATTTTCTCATTCATCAGATCCATCTTCTCATGCATCTGTTCCAACAAAGCACTTGTCTTGCATGGAGCAAGCACCAAAACTTCCTTCCAGCTCATATTTAGTCAAGGTCAAAAGGACTAATCCCACGATCTTAATCTCACAGCTGTGGCTGCAGCAACAATTTAGCAAGCTCCCTCTAGAGGAGACAATTTCTATTTGTATCCATCTTTTTAAGGCAAGTCCAACAAAGAAAAATTACTTTCATTTTTTCAGATATTTTGTTTCTTTAGAATGCAAAAGGCAACATTGGAATCAGTTTATTTCTCTTCTTTAGCTATCTGTCAAAATATTCCATTCACAGTCAATGAACCTCTCCAACAATTTCTGTCTCTGACACCCCGTTCCCAGGTTAGAGACGGTGGAAACTTATCTTTCTTCACTCCCTCTCCTGCAGGCGTTACACAAAGTCCCCCCCCCTTTTCACCTGCTTCCAGGGGGATTTCAGTAGTTGTAAATGAAGGAAATTTAGGCTTTTTAACGACTTTCCCGGCTTTAGCTTACAAGTTTTTTGCTTCAGTCTATATAGAAAATGCGGAAGGCGGACTTCCTGTTTTGAACCTTCCCGCTTCGATGTCAAATTAAGATATTTCTTGATCCAATTTTCCGTTTCTACTCACGGGTACTTGTTTTAGATCCAATTGTCCACAGGAAAAAGTCAGCGCTCTCCGGCGATGGCTGTGCGGCTTCATGAAGGGGGTTGAACTAGATGATCCTCGTGGTCCTATTCCAACTCCACAATTCTATGATTCTATGTCAAACTAAATTGAAGAGCATGCCAGGTAAAAAATAGATTTATATACTCACTAACAGAAAAAAAAATGTTATATGCAAAGCTTCTCTAAAACAGAACCAATGTACAACTTATGGGAACAGATTCAAATTATGAAATGGTGAAGGATACCAAAAAATTACAAAAATGACTTACAGAAATGGATCCCTGTGATTCAATGCAGGCAACTCCCCATTTGTATGGGGGAGTTGTGTCAGCGCATAAGCCCATTCTGCCCCCACCCCATTCTGCCCATTCCACCCCTTTCCAGGGCCGAAAATGATGTCTGTGTCGGTAGCCGCATGTCAGTCGGGTACGTGCAAAATGGTTGTTGCCTGTATATGGGAGAGAAGTTAGGTTTCACAGGAATAGAAGTAGTTTACAAGGTAGTAATATTTATGTGTCAAGTTTTCATATGAATCTATTATATAATCAGTTGGTAATAAAACATCTAACACGCACACAAGATAGATTGAAATTACATCTTCATTATTAATACTTTCTCTGGTATTGTGAAGAAATTCATTTCATGAGAAAAATGTAATCATTACAGTATGCTTATTATTTGCCACTGTATTTTCTGGGAATGCACTATTTATTTCTGCTTACTGTACTTTAACTATTTTGGGCAGCTTAGAGAATTAGTGTTTCCTAATGAAAGGATTATAAAGTGAGAGCCATGCCACTGAATTCTATTACAGTACCAAAACAGCGTGAGTCTAATTAGATGGCTAATATGACAGGAGGGGAATTGCAGGTCAGAGGAGGCCTATGAAAGTATCCTTTATCCGTAACTCAACTTCCTGTTTTGCTTTTATATTTTGTTGCCTCTCAAGTGCTGTTAAAAAAAAAAAAATATGTAAGGACTACCAAAACATTATAGCAACATGTAGTTTAAGAACAAAAAGGCATATGCCACAATCCAACAGAGTGTTAAATCTGGGTTAAGTCCACTCAGTGCTTTTTTTTCTGGCGGTGTATTTTTCTGCCCCAAATCAGAGCCTCACATCTCCTTCCCAAAGCCGGGGAAGTTTCTCCCCAGCTTAGGGACAGAGACATGATGCTCTGGCAGGGTCTGATAGCCCTCCCTTGCGTGGTGAGTACCGGTACCTGTTTTTCTAGAAAAAAAGCACCGAGTCCACTAATTTAAACAAGTTCAAGCACACCTAACTCTGTTAGGACAGGAACTCTCAGGGCAGAATATTATTCATTTGATTTAGAATCTATAGGTAAATTTTCAGGTAAAAGTTGTTTACACTGGAATCCTGTACCCAAAAGAACATTTCAATTATATTTCTAGAAAGACCGAAAATGAAATAAGCAGCAAGTAGGTATGTATACTGAAGAACTGTGGATGGATTCTTATATTCATGTACGATGTCTAACCCTTTTCTCTCTCTCAGCTTCCACCAACAGCATGCACTTCAGCATGCAGGCATAGTGTTGCTGGAAGAACAGGGACAGAATATTTTAAAACACAGCTTCAGGTTTCAATATTTCTGAAAGACTTGTGTCCCCTCTGGCTTAGCTGCTCTGATGTCACAGGGGGTCAGGGTAGCTTAGCCCTAAGCAGCAGAGTCCTGAAGGAAATGATCTAGGAATATCTTAGAATGAGAATTTAGAAGCCAGTGAACAACTTTTGCTAAATTGAACCATGTAAGTACAGTGGTACCTTGGGCTACATACGCTTCAGGTTACATATGCTTCAGCTTACAGACTCCGGTAACCCAGAAATAGCACCTCGGGTTAAGAACTTTGCTTCAGAATGAGAACAGAAATTGTGCTCTGGCGGCACAGCGGCAGCAGGAGGCCTCATTAGCTAAAGTGGTGCTTCAGGTTAAGAACAGTTTCAGGTTAAGAACGGACCTCCGGAATGAATTAAGTACTTAACCCGTGGTACCACTGTACTGTTTGTCACTGGCTTTTGGATTACACCTTGCTGCTACATATACATTTAGCAGTTGCAGAGCATTTTGATGGAAAGCTACTTGTGGCAACAAAAATATGACCTTTGCTCCAAAACACTACCAAAAATAGTAATCAAATGCAGGGAGTGCCTGATTCTCAGCATACTTAACATTTTTCAAAATGAGAGAGGTTGCAAGGGGGCCAAAAAGCTATCTACAGAAGGTAAAAAGAAGAAATGTAAAGAACTAAAATAACTCTGCTTGTCTGTGTAAGCATATTATTTGGCAGCATTTTAAAATTATATTTTGACAAGCTCAGTACATTGTTATGAGTTCGTGGGTGCCTGACTCCCCTGTGTTATGAGTTTCTGGGTGCCGGACACTGAACCCCTGGATTCAGCAAATGTTAAAATATAAGCCAGACCAGTTTCCTGATGAGGTAGTCGCCTGGGAGACGAGCCATTAGGAGAACAAAAGGAAGACAATGAGCGATTAGGAAACCAAAGACAGGGGGCTCTATGCCAGATGAGGGGGCACTCCCTCAACTCAGAGTTACTTAGAAGTTTGAAGGAGAGTTTTTAGAGCTGGCTGTGATGTGACCTGGGAGGACAAAAAGGTGTCAGGCTGTTAAAGGCAGCAAGCTGGAGAGCATGAGCATGATGTCTTAAGTCTGTTTGGAGCAAGACCTTGAAGCAAGACCTTCTTGAGTGTTAGTGCTGTGAACCTCTCCAGGTTCAGGTTGTGTATGTATGTAAATAAACGATATATCATAAAGACAGCAAAGTCTCTGCTGTGCCTCATTCCCCAAAGCAAACATGGAGCCTGGTTAAACACCTGGAACCCCTGGAATTTCACAATGCTTGGAGATTGGAGTGGTGTGCAACAATACAATGCATGTTCTCTGTAAATGGAGATGTGATTCCAAATCAAATCTTAAATAGGATGCTTAAACCCTTTGTTTCTAATTTGCTATATGACATATTGAACATTATGGCAAACCCTTTCACAGGCTAATTTAATACCCGGAAACGTAGCTCTATGGTATCAGCGTTTAT